TATAACTTTCAAATCATGTAATAAAAGTATAACAAAGATGCACATTTGGGTCTTTTATCAAAAACGTTCAAATTACAATTCTTAACATACATTTTCCTTGGATTATAAACTTTATCTACGTTATCTCTTCGTTAGAAATTACAAAAGAAGAAAAACTAAAGTTATTAAAACAATAACATATTAAACTAAGCTAGCTATGCCCCGATGTCACATCCTATCAGAGCATGCCCAACTGAAGCCTTAAGCCTCATCAACCACATCCTCATGATGTTGATCGCCTGCAACATAATTTAAACACATACAAAAACAACAAGGGAGTGAGAAACATCTCACTCAGTTTCAGGTGCAGAAATAAATGCTAGATAGCACACACACACACAACATATATAAGTCACATGTAAACAATACACATAAATAATCAATATCACATATATACTCATTTATCATGCTTATAATGTCATGGAATTGACTCATAAATGCATGCATGTGGCGCCATACGGAAGATTCACAATTCATCATTGGTGACCCTAAGGTACACCTAGTTACATCACTGATAACCCTAAGGTACACCTTCTTAGCATGTTACGTCGTGGGTGACCCGAAGGTACACCTAGCATGTTACGTCGTGGGTGACCCAAAGGTACACCTAGTTAGCATCGTTGGTATGCGGCCTCAACGGCACACCTGGAGTAATATATGCATATGATGCATGTCATACCTTCATTATTTGATGGACTCGATATTTAACATATTACAGAATTTCAACAAGTATATCATGTCATTATTTTCCATATTCTTATAATCATAACTTGTCTCAATAGTCCATTCTTAGATCTCATGTCATTTGTCCATATTTCACATGGTCATGTCATAAATACTCCTCATAAGGTTCGCATAGGAATTCACAGAGAACATTTTTTTCATATTAAAACTTATTTATTTTTACCATTAATTCCATATTCATTTATTACTTTAAAGGAACAAAGTAACAAGGAACAAAGTAACAAGGAAACAAGTAACAAGGAAACAAGATTACATAATTATTTATTATTTCCAACAAGGAATAAAGTAGAGCAAACAGAAAATAAGACAGCACAACGGCAAGGGATTGGGGGCCAATCCGACAAACAAACTATCCAACAATTATCCCCACACCCCCGAGCGAGGTTTCTCACTCCCCCCTTACCTGGATAAGCAGGAGTTGAAACTTGGGCAGAGCCTCCTCCTCTGGATTCCCTCTTTCTTTCCCTCTCTTTCTTTCTTTCTTTCTCTTTCTCTCTCTCTCTCTCTCTCTCTCCTCTTTCTCTCTCTAAGATTTCACCTTCTCACTCAGTATAAACTTTTCACCCCCTTTGTCCCTATTTATAGGAATCCTGGTGTACCCGGAATGGCCCGTACTGAATTCGGAACGGCTCGTTCCGGATCCTTCAAATATATGTAAATTTCTCAACTGGAACGGCCCGTTTCAAAAAGCAGAACGACCCGTTTCAAAAAGCAGAACGACCCATTTCAAAAAGCAGAATGGCCCGTTCTAAAATTAGAACGGCCCGTTCTGAAGTTCATTTTACACACATTGACCTTTACTGGAACGCCCCTTTTCTAACTAACCTTTTTAGGTAAATTTTGAATCTTGGAATGGCCCGTTTCCCTTTGGGAACGGCCCGTTCTGGAAAAACCCAAATAGGCTTCTTTTCTACTTTGGAACGGCCCGTTCCACTTTTGGAACGGCCCGTTCTGATACTCCAAAAATAGTTTATTTTCATTGTTTGGAACGGCGCGTTCCAACCTAAAGAAATAGAATTTTATAAAAGAATTTCATAAATAATTTAAATTATTACAAACCATTAAAATATTCTATAAAAACCCCTTTAATTAACTAAAATAACTATAAAAATAATCTTCATAAATATATAAAAATAGATAATAATTGATATTGTAATAGTAGAAATTCCGGGATGTTACACTTTGCGACAAAACTCCAAACCATATCACCTACATCCTCTCAATACATTTTAAAGAATATAGGTTGAAAGCCATCAGGTCCTGGGGCCTTGTACGATTTCATGCTTAGGAGAGCCTGATACACCTCTTCTTTGGTAATTGGGGCGAGAAGATGCATATGAGCCTATGAAGGAAGACCTCCTGAACTCCAGGCCGTGGCCACAGAACTAGTAGTGTCTTTAGAACAGAATAAAGCCTTGAAGAACGTGATAGCTTCCCGTTGGAGTGTGCTATCAAGAGTACACCATTCTCCTGAAGGTAAGAAAAGACCATGTATCTTATGATGTTTTCTACGAATAATCGTTTGAGCATGGAAAATGATGTATTTCTACTACCCAACCGAATGAACTTTTCTCTAGACTTTTGGAACCAAAATGTTTCTTCTTGAAAGAGAATAGACTCATATTCCTGTAACAAATCCCTGTGAAGGAGGGAAAGTCGAACAGAATCAACAGTTTCTAATATGCGTTGAATCCCGCATAATCTGGCTTCTAATTATCTTTTCTTGTTAAAGATATTCCCAAAAACATCACGATTGAAGACTAAGGAGTCCTCCGACACACATTGCAATGCTTTGACCACATCCTCCCCACCTTTGCGCCAAGCACGCCGAACTACCCGTCCATACTCCTCATGAGTGCACCAAGCCGCCTGGAAGTGAAAGGGTCTCTCTTGACTTTCACGCGACACTTGAGAACAACGCACGGAGAGTGGATTATGATCTGAATGTCGTCTTACCAAATGCTCCACAATAGCTTCAGGAAAAGCTATTCGCCAAACCTGAGACACCTTCAATTCCACCAATTGATCCACTGAGGTAGATGAGTGTGAAGTTGATTGTCGTCCAAAGTAAGTTTGCAAGTTATGACCTTTACCAGCTGCTCGAACCCGACCTGTGTGCTCAGGCTTCCCAATGGCAACAGTAAGTATATCTTGTCGTCCATGGGAAACAAAAGATCATTCTTTGGCTTGTTATTCTAATATCTCCTATAACATAAGACACATAAATACTTTGGATATTACGGAGCAATTGCTTGGATACAGCATCGCCGCTTCAGGAATACTCTATAAACCAATCTTCTTACATTACACCAATCAAATAAGTATCGCCTATCTTTCTACAACAATTTATATGCCTCAGAATATCACGGCTAGTTTTAACATATCGTGGACTCAAGGTCATATAATATTTATATGGATTCTTAATTCTTTATATTTATTTACAAAAATGCCACAGTGACATTTTTGTAAATAAAGTTACAACCTTTAAGATCAGTCACATTTTAGCCGATCTTAAAAGTACTTTTAAGATCGGCTAAAATGTGACTGATCTTAAAGGTTGTAACTTTATTTACAAAAATACCACCGTGGCACTTTTAAGATCAGTTAAAATGTGACCGATCTTAAAAGTCGTAATCTTATTTACAAAATTGCCACCGTATTACTTTTAAGATCGGTTCTCTAATAACCGATCTTAAAACCCCGATCTTAAAACTAATTTTTGTACTAGTGAGAGAAAGAGAAATAAGAAAAGCACGGGAGAAAGAAAGGGAAAAAAGAATATGAAATAATGAAGAAAAGAGAAACAAGTGAGATGAATAAAAAGAATGAGAAAATGAGATAGAGAAAATTAAAAGAAGAGAGAAAAAGAGAAAAAAATAATATGAAAAGATTTTAAGAGAAAAAAATAGAAATAAAAGGGAAATAAATTCATGCAAAATTTCAAAAATTTTGGTGAGATTATAATAAGTAAATTACATGAAAATTATACTAAAAAATCTCACAAAATTCATTATTCAACATAATCCATTGAAATCTTTAAATTTTTAAATACAAACAAACCTTTTTTAAAGTAAAAAAGTCTTAATTAAATCCTATCAAACTTTGATGGATTCTTAAAAAATTAAATACTATCGAATTTTGATGGACTCCTAAAATTTCGACAAATTCTTAAAAAAATCTTGATTATTTTAATTGAATACTACATGATTTTTTTATATTATTTTTTTTAATTAAATATCAGATGAATTTTTTATAATAAAAAATATTTTAAAATCTATTGAAATTATAATCCAAAACATACCATTATATTTTAATTTTTATCATTAATTTAACTTTTTTTTCTCTTCTTATTATAATAAATCATGAAAATTATATTTTATACTTTAATTTATTATGACTTTACACATAGTTTAATGATATATAAATTTCTAATTTGTTATTTTAAGTTAAATTTGATATTTTTTAATGTTAGATTATGAGACGACTACATTTAATAAGAATATTTTATAAAAAATATTTATATAATTAAAACATAATATTGTAATTAAACGTAAAAAATTTTAGTTTTTCAAAAACTTATATTAATATTCTTTAAGAATTTTTGTGACTAACCAAATATTTTTATACATTTCCAAAACTCATCTCTAATTTATAATTGTCAAGAATCATCATTTTCGGATATTAAAAAAACTTTTTCCCTGTTTCCAAATCTTCACATTTTACTGCATCAAACACATGTTCTTTACTGAAAAGTAAGGACAATGAAAAAAAAAAACTCCAGCCATTATACTAGTAGTTTGTTTCTATATAAATAAATCCACGATCCCAGCCTTATCCTTAAAATATTCAACACGTGTATCATGCTGCAACCAAATTGTTAACATTATAAAATTTAAACCCAGAAAAGAAAAGAAATAGAAAATTAAGAAGAGAAGCAAAAAGATAAGAACAAAAGCAATCCGTCACTAAATTAATGGATAAATTAAATGAAAATTGAGTTTTAAAAAAATAAATATTAGTTAATTACATTGTATTAAAGTATTTGATAAAGCAGTTAATAAATAAATAAAAACCTAATTAATTCCTAATTTACTACCAAAACGCAAATCTCATAATTACACATTTTAAAAAAGGAAACGTAATAAATATTTTTTTTTTGCGAAGAGATAAAGAGTTTTAGAAACAAAAACAACCTCTGACAACACTTGGACCTTAACACGCGGCGAAGCGAACTCTTTTTCATTCGCCACCGCAACGCGCCATCACATATCGTCTCTTCTTCACTCTCTTTCTTCTTCAAAAACACACTTTTTTTTTCTTCTCTCCATAAACCCCTTTTTTTCTTTCTACATCACTTTTGTCAACCAAAAATCAGTGAAAAAGGCCCCAAAATCCGTTTCTTTTATTATCTTGCAATTAATTGAGTAACTCATTAAACGCATCCCCTCTTTAAAAAAAAAGAAAAACATTCACAAAAGGGAGTTACATTTTGTTCCCCACCTCTTCCTTCTTCTTGTTCTTCAACTTGGGTCATGAAAAAATCTTGCACCTTTGAAGCATTTTAAAAATCCAGGAGGCACAATAAAATATTGGGTGGTTGAACTTTGTCCCTTGAAACGATCCTCTCTTTCTCTACCATTTCTCTCTCCCAACCCTTTTCCCATTTTTAGTTTTGATTAACTTTTCTCTTGACACCCATTATGATGCAATGCTTCAAATCCCTTCCCACAAGGAAAGTGGCAAGTTCTCCCCAAAAAAATGAAATCTTGGTTGATTAAATCACATCTTAGCCACTTTAGCCATAACCATAAAGAAAAAAAAAATGATCTTTGGTCCCTTATATGACACAATGAGAGAGACTTGAGAGCTTCCTAGGTAGATATCCAAAAGTACTAAAACCCATTTCCTGAATAATCATTCTCTTGCTTTGGGTTTCTGAGGGTTTTGTGTCACTTTCCGGGAAAATCTCTGAGAAACGACAATGCCCTCTTCCACCACTTCTTCATCTTCCTCATTCACAACCTCCTCCTTCACGTGTTGCTCTGCTGCTTCTCCTTCGAACCTCGAACGATTTCTTCAATGTGTCACACCCCATGTTCCTTCACAGACTCTACCCAAGGTATTTTTTTTTATTTTTATTTTATTTTATTTTCTAGGTTGATTTTTCTTCAAGACTTCAAGTGTGTTTCTCTCTCTGGGTTGCTTCTCTTTGTTCCGATTCATCGGACGGTGTGTTTGTTTGTTTGGTTGTGTTTTTCTATTTTTTTTTTTTAATTCCCACAATTCCTAATGTAGAAAATTCAATATTTTATTTTTGATTTTTTTTTCAATTTATATTGTTTCTCTCTCCTCGTTTTTATCTGCTTATATATTTTAATATCAGAACTATCAGTTTTAGTAACAGAAAATAAGTTATTTACCTATAATATAGAGTAATTGTACATTATTATTAGTCATAGTATATAATAAATTTATTGGGTTTTATGATAAATAATTAAAAACCATGCTAATAATAATGCGTGATTGATTTATAATAAATAATTACATGAATAGCGGGATTATATGGTATGAACAAGGATTTAGATTCGAAATTTCGAGTTATGTTGTAATTGGGATTCATTATGGTGTATGGACTGACTTTTTATGCATCATTCAATAGAAAAATAAAAAAAATAATATGATACATGTATTTTAGGAGACCATTTATGAACGATTTATAGTAAGTTTACAGATTCTGAAATTATTTTGTTTTTTTTTTGACAGATTGAAATAATTAATTTTGAAAAATATGTTTATTGGTTCTGTAATATTGACTTTTGTACTATTTTTTTTTTGAAAATCTTGACTTTTATGATATTTCTGGAATTATTTTTATTAATTAATAATTAAACAAAAAATAAAATTTTATTTTATTTAACCTTCCAATGACTTATTTATTTATCTTAAATTTATTATCATTTGCACAATTAATTTTTGATTTTTCAGTTATGAGAATATTTGTACCTGTTACGAGCATTTATGGGATACAAGAGGAAGTAATTATTTTTTTAAAAGATTAAAATGAAGTAATAAAGTGGATATGTACAATTTAAATGTGATCTCGACAATTTAAAAATATTTTCTCTGCTACTTTTCTGTAGAAAAAAGTTGGCATGGTTTAGTCGAAATTTGTTAAGATTTACATTTTTCAGATAAACTGTTAGCTTTCTAGTACATTTTTGTCACATGGTATCGAAATAAGATTTTTTTTTTTTTTTTTGAAGGGACGCAATAAGATTTTCTAATAACTAATATAATAAAGAAAATGGTAAATAAGAAAAAAAAAAAAAAGAAAGAAAAATCCATACATTTAGAATCTGAATAAGATAAAAAATAAATGATTTTTAGCACTCTAATTTAATTTAAAAATAATGAAATCTGCCATGGTTGCTTTTTTCCTCTTAATAAATTTTTAAAAATTCATTAAATAGGTGATACGGTTGCATTTGTCAACTCTCATCAAACATTAATGAAATTAACTTCTTTTGAGTGGAAGTATTCTGAATTAATTATAACTGTTGATTAAAATCATAATATTTATCATAGCTATTAATGAATAATACGCGGTTACATAACTTATATGGAGTAGTGTCAGTTGAGTTATGGTCCCGTTGATAAAAAGCTATTTGTTTTTGTTTTTTATTTTTATTTTTATTTTTATTATTATTATTATTGTTATTTATTTATTTATTTGCTTATCTTTCATTTTCTCTGTGGGACTGTGATTGTGAATTTTTTGGAGTTAAAGGGATATGTAACCGGTGAGAGAGGACATTAACATGTTTTTAGAAAATGAGAAACGACGTCGTAATTCGTAAAGAAATAAAGCATGTGTACTGTGTAGGGA